TGGACACATTTTTACAAGTTTCTATCCCTGTGCTTATAGAAGAATCTCAAAATGAGGGTAGCAGAAGGGGAAGAGTTGTAGCGGTTGCTGGCTTGGTATGTGTGATGGTTAGTGTGGACTGTCAAACTGGCAGAGAATAAAATCATCTAGAAAACAAGCCTCTGGGGAAATCTGCCAAGGAGTTCCTAGGCCAGGCTGATTGAGGTGGGAGAGCCCACCCTTAATGTGCGCTGTAACCATTCCACTGGGTTGACGGGGTAGGGGTGGGGGTGGGGGAAGGAGGACTGGACTGGACTGAATAAACACAAGAAAGCAAGCCGAGCACCAGCCTTCTCCTGCTTCCTGACTACAGATGCAGACTGACTCCCCTGCTTCTTTGCCATGTAATGGTCCGAACACTCAAACTGTGAGATAAAATAATCTCTTTCTTCTTTACGTTTTGCTTTTGCTTTTTGAGACAGGGTTTCTCTGGCTGTCCTGGAACTCCCTCTGTAAACCAGGTTGGCCTCGAACTCACAGAGATCCTCCTGCCTCTGCCTCCTGGTACTGGGGTTAAAGGCATGTGCCACCACTGCCCAGCTTAAATTGCTTTTGTTGGGTATTTTTGTCTCAAGATGAGAAAGTAACTAACACAGGAAGCTGGTACTAGGAGTGGGGTTGTTGCTGTATTAAAGGTGATCATGTGGTCAGTAGACCTTTGAGCTGTTTTTCAAGATTAATTTGTGTGTGTGTGTGTCTCTCTGTGTGTAACTTAGAGTTAGAAAAGCCCTAAAAAGCTGTAAGCAGAACCTAATGGACCATCCTTATGGGAGTTTAGAAAGACAGAATGAACAGGGGAGGCCCAGCTCTTGAGTTTTCATAAGGTAATAAGCACTCTGTCAGGAGTGGGGATAAAAACCATTCTTTCTTTTTTTATTTTTCTGGCAAGGAATTTAGCTATATTCTGCCTGTGATCTGATACCTCAGAATTATTGGCGACATTGTCAGAAAGAATTTCAAGACATGAGCTCGTAGGCTAGGCAAGGGCTACTTCTCACTGCTTTCATTCGAATCTGTGGGTAAGAGACAGTGCAAGTAAATGGAGCAAAAATATTTGACGAATGTGGGAACCGGAAGGGAAAGGAGAGAGTTACAGACAAGATGGGTGGCTGTAATTATTGAAGATAGCATCTTTAAGAGAAACCTCCCGCTGTGCACTGGGACAATAGGAAAGGTGCTCTGAGGGTAAGACTGAAGTCTTCATCTTGAGAAAAATCCAAGTTCATCTGAGAGGAGAAAAGCCTAAACTGAAAACGTCACGGAGCCTGCCGAAAAACAGCTGCCTAGGGAGATGTCCCAAGATCCTGGCATCTCCAGCATCCCAGGGTCTCTAATGCAAACTGGGCTTCCTTTTTACAGCTGCATGCAAATGCCTGGTCCAGCAACCACTGCACAAGCCTCCACGACCCTCTGTTTTTGCATCTTTTATACTCGTAAAGCAGTACACCATGTGCATGATGTTCCCAAATTCTGCTGTCCGGTTAGGAACCCTTGGACCACAGTTGAATCAGCCTTTGTGTAGCGACTCTGGGTAAACTGTTCCCTAGGGAAGGCAGACATCACCCCTTTAAGTCCACGGGCCACGAAGCAATAAAGAGAAGGAGGAGGAGTGAGACTGTATCCTCCATTAGACAAATTGTATGCACCACTAAAGACAGGTTCTGGGTCTCTGTGACAGTCACCAAGTGTCACCACATACCATATACTGCGTTTGCTTTATGGATCAAGCTTGAGCTGGAATTGAGATCTAGGGTAGCTGGACCTTTCCAGAGGGTGTGCCTAGAAATGTCCCAAGCTTATTTAGAGCAGTAGACTGTGGAAGAGGAAGGCCTTTGGGAAGGGTATTGGAGACAGAGATAGACAGCAAGCTGGCCTATTCAGCTGGCTATGGCCCAAGGAGATGATGAAACATTTTGAGCAGCTACAAGCCAGAGTTGGGGGGGGGTGGTTTTGAGTAGCTGAAGGGCACAGCCTAGTCACTGTAGAGCTTTGGTGCAAGGTGACATGAGGGATAGAGGCTCTTATCTCTGATTTCTCATAAGATGATATTGCTGTCGGAGGTGGGTGGCAGATACGTCCTCAAGTGAGCCCTTGATATGCCCCCTTGGCTGCAAGCCCTGCAGTGAGCAGGTTAACACTGCCTCCTTCATAACTGCAGGGGCTGAGGTCTGGCCATATTGAAGATACACGTATTTTATTCCACTTGAGTCTCATCAGAGCCTGTGAAATTGGCCTTATTATCCTACCTTTAGTGATGTGAGCAGTAGGCACTCAGAGTCTAAGTGTCTGCTCAAGTGACTCCATTAGTAAATGGTTAGACCCAAGTTGACCTCACTGGGCTCGCCCTCAGCCACATCTCCAACACTGTCTCTAGGTGCTGCATTACCAAGGTTGAGTTACCCCCTTTTGTTTTTGAGACTGTAGCCCCGACTGTCCTGGAACTCACTCTGTAGACCAGGCTGGCTTCAAACTCACAGAGATCTGCCTGCCTCTGCCTCCTGAGTTCTAGGATTAAAGCCGCTCAGATAAGAGGCACTACCCCATGCACGGTCAGGCACAGTGGCCCCAGCCGCTCACGTGCAAACACTTCCTACACAGAGAGGCTGAGGTTGTGTTCACCTTCCTCAGACAGGTAAAACAGACAATTTTTCATGATGAGACAGTGAGCTCTGGGGTCTTGTAAGGAATGTTATATTTTCTGTGAGAGTAGTCACACAAAGTAAAGGCTCTATGGTGTCTTGAAGCAAAGGCATCTGCCTGATTTTGCTTAACTCAAGGTATCTAAATGCATTTGAACGTAAAATCTTTTTTCTGTCTCTTAAATGGTCACATCTGATTAGATGCCTGTGAAAATGGTGAAGAATAACTAATCTGACTTGATCTCTTTACTAATGGGCTGATCTGATAGTACCTGGGCAGGACCTCAGGCTTTATATTCTGTCTGTCTGCTTGCCTGCCTATCTATCTGTCTGTCTGTCTGTCTGTCTATCTATCTATCTATCTATCTATCTATCTATCTATCTATCTATCTATCTATCTAACATATACCTAGCTGTCTGTTCGTCTACCTATCTGTCTGTCTGTCTATCTGTCTGTCTATCATCTATCCAGCCATTCATCAGATACAAAAGGCCATCAATGTGCTTGTCCACTGGCCTTGACATTTGTCACTTGCAACCTGAATGTCCAGGGTAGTACTGTATTTATGAAAGTATGCTCAATTTCCTAAGTTAAAACTGAAAGTCCATTGTATGATTCATAAGCCTTTCTAATACTAGGCATTTTCATTAGTGATTCACAATAGAACAAATGTCAAGAAAAGCTACAGGGCTGTCTGCCTTTGCATGATGGCATGCAGGGTCTGAGGGAATTTGCCCGGCGGAGGTCTCTGAAATCAGCAAGGTTAGCATTCCACACAGATCCTTTACCATCTTCCCACCTACGGAGGCAGCAGACACTTGACATTCGTGACAGATATTTCCAGAGACCTTTATGATTCCCTTAATTGGAAAATTCTATTAGGGCAAATAATTTCCCTCCTGAAGCCTTTTTATTCTGACCCCAACAACCATGACCATGGAGGGCTTGGGCTTCCTATCTCATTCATTATCACGTCATTTGTGCCTTTAGCTGACAGTAAGAGGGACTTGGCTGTGAGGAAGTGGCCAGATATCTGGGTTCATTGGGTAATTCTACCCTCAATGACAATTTTGCTAGAGGATCTGAATTTGTATTTCGGGGCCGGGGGCGGGGGGAATGGCAATGCCTAGCTACAAGGTAGGCACTGTTGTGATCGCCTAGTCAAATCCTGTGACTATAAACTGCACCCCCCAGTATTTCCTGTTTCCTGGCTGTTTCAAACCCAGTCACCCTGCCCTTCAAAGGGCAGGAAGTTACTCGCTGGCAACGAGAGGGGTCTGTGGAGACGTGGAGGACCCCGAGCTCATCGTCACCAATGCCACACGGTCCCCACAGCGGGCTTGCTTGAACCCAGGGGTGTGGGAAGTCCTGGCAGTTTTGGAATGAGACTTCTGTGCTTTGGTTAAAAACAAAGCAAAATGAAAACCCGGTAAGTTCCAGAGTTAGGTTAAAAATGCATCCCATAAACTAAGAAAATAGATTTGAACTTGAAGCTTGACTTCCCCCAGCACTTGGCAAAACTCTGCTTTGTTTTTGGGCTCAGAGCCTTGGGGAAATAAGTTTTCTTCAGGACTTATAATCATTATTGAAGTAAAAGAACAGAAAACCTCATGAATCATGGAAACTCCCTAGGTCCCTTGTTGATGGCTGGTTTATGCCTATGCCCCCTGCCTGCTCCCATTTGGATAATCGAGAAAGAGGAGAAATGTCCAGAACCCAAATTGGGGCATTTAAATATCATTTAGTTACTTTTTAAAAAAAGATTTATTTTGTGAGACAGGGTCTTTCAGGGTAACTCTGGCTGGGGACGTCAGGGGTACTGAGACACCTTGGTAGGCACTGACGAGTTGATGAACTTTCCTTTGGGCATCTACTTGAGCTATCTATTAAGAACGTTTATGAGACTCTGGGGTCCATGGTTCTCACCTGCTCTCTTCCCCAAGCTGCTCTCTATGTGACTATTCCTAGGGCAGAAAGACAGCTCAAGGCTGTGCTTCTCAGCAAGGCCTGGGGTTGCCTTGCTGGCCCATGGGAGCTCTCCCAGAAGTGTTCCTACAGCAGTTTGGAGACTGTGATTTTTGTTTTCCAGGCTCAAGGCCTGCCCTGGACTGATTGGGAGACCACTCTGTTGGGGGATAGGAGCCCAGGTAGGAAGGGGTAGTGAGATCTGAGCAGCCCTGCAGAACTGGCAGTTCCCTGTCCAGCCAGAACAGGGTGTCATCACAGTCACATTGTGGGGACACGGATATGCATGAGCACGAAGCTAGGCCAGCGGCCCCGCAAAGCCAGGCAGGAAGGCCAGGAGGGGTGAGGAAGCTTACCTTCTTGACTTCGTATTTAATGGCGAGTTTGATCCGGCTCAGACTTGGACGGTGGTGGTCGGACCAGACTTGCAAGTTCACATCCCCGTTTAAAATCGCTTCCACCTCTTCTGTGTCTCGGCACAGGTCCAGCACGCCCACCACAAAATCCTTGCATTGCATAGATAACTTCCTGTAATCGTTCTAACAGAATAAAGAGAAATCAGGGTGTGTCACACTGAGCCCCACAGGGTGACTTGTATGACTTGCGCAGCCTGGCACTGAGGCTCAGCATTGGCTGCCAACAGTCAACCTGTGGAGGGCCTGGGAGCCAGAGGCCTGCGCTAGACTGGGCCTGACTTCTCTAAGTTAGCATTTGCTGAGTTTGTGACCCACAAGCCACTTGCAGCAGTCACTCAGGTACCTGCTGAAGTCACAGATTCCCAGATCCACCCTACTCACTGAGCCAGAAGTCCTAGGGATTGGGCCCAGGAATCTGTCTTGTCTGTGTATCTGTTCCCCCGGCCCCCCCCCCCCCCCCGCCTTGCTTGGTTCTTTCAAAGCAGTAGGTCCTTGTGCCCAAG